ATGTTCAATTTTTGACTGTATAATTCAAGAAAGTTTAAATTAATAAAATTCTTTAAAACTATTCTATAGAAAAAAATAGTAGCACCAAACAAAAAAAACAATTATCGTTTAGTATTGCATATACGTAGGTCTGGGTACTACACTAATCTAATGATTGAATCATACTATTTTGGATATTATATGCAGTGCTATATAGTATTGTTAAAACCAAACTAAAATTAGAAAAAAAGCCTAATTAGCCAGAATGCCGTATTAAGAAATATACTACAGCACTAGCGTTACTACCTAAAAAATTTCACTGGCTAATCAAAATTTAAAGATCATATATAATGCAAAAAATTATAACAATCCAAAAATCGTCCATGCCACAAAATTTTATGCTGCAGTACTATGAAACTGCCTTCTGCATTAAAGAAAATTTTTTTTCTTGAAAAATTATTATAACCTAACCTAATAGTGAAACTTGACCTTATCCAACAGTAAAAATTTCTTAGTGAAGCTTTTTAGGTTAGTAATACTAGGCTCATTGATATGACCTTACATTTTTAAATCCTCTCCCCTTTCAAATTGATCAATTATATATCGTATGTATTTTCTTTTGTACTTTGCTTTAAAGCTATTGATGATACTTGCATCCATCAGTTGCAGGTAAGCAGTAGTGTGAGGTGGCAAAAACTCAAGCCTGATATTTGTTAAAGGAGTTTCAGAAGATTCTGGAAGTCTATAAAGATGAGCACAGCCCCGACAACCCTTGTTACCACAAGAAGCCTGCCCACGACCATGACCATGACCACAGCCATGGCCATGGCCACGACCACGAGAATTTCGTCTACTTTGTTTATTTATATTACTAGTGCTTAACCTTGGGCAACCACGGCCACATCGAGTAGAGTTCCTAGAAGAGCTTGCATGATCATCTTCATTATCCGAATTTTCACTTTCTAATTCCTCTTTTTCACTATTTAATTCTTTGTCTGATTCTGACACATCTTTATTAGAATCATTATATTCATTATTATTTTCATTAGATTCATTAGGATTATAATGGCTTGATGCGCTGTTAACTAACAACAAAATATGCCGGTTTTCTAAGTGAAACTTCTTATCAAGCTCTGTAAGCCATTCGCCAAAGATATTTGATCGCATCCAGGCTTTTAAATTTGACTGGTATGTAACAGGTAAGGTATCATAATTTAAACGGGCTAGAGCATAGGGTTCAATAGAAGATTTAATACTATTGGCTTTAATTTTTCAGTTCCAGTTGTGTTTGCTGTCAACATTACAGTAATGTGTGTATGATCCTAAGAAAGTTAATTCAATAATTAAAACAAAATTAAAATTTTTAAATCTTTGTTAAAAACAGCATACAAATAATTTTTTATTTTATTATTCTGGTTTAAACTTGTACACAATAAAGACCTTTTTCTATCCTGATTGTGGTTGCGATGAGAGCATTTGATGTGGTACTATCTGAAAGAATAGCCCTGGCTTATCTGTATTAAAAACGTTTTCTAATAGATATTCTTTTATTATTTCACGAAATTTTATTCTTTGTTCTGGAAGTATTTCCATTGGTGCACTATTGGCTTCTCTATGTAACCGATAGTTTCGTAGCTTATTCTGTTTTTTGAACTTATAGATCCAACCATTAGAAAATTTTAATACACTATCTGGCAAGCCTAATACCCAGGCAAAAAATGCAGCCTTTTCTTTAATGATTAAATCTGTCAAAAATATTTGACCACTTATAACCTGCTCAACCCAAAGTTGTATGGCCTTATCTAATAATAGGAACTTAACTTTGTTGTGACGAAAAGTTGTCATGCTAGTTTCGTTATTTTCAATCACCAACCATTTTTTTTTTTCTTTTAAAATTTTTGAAATTGTTGAGCGATCAATATTTAAAATTGAATTTTTTTGATTAAAATAATTTGCGATATTTGATTGTATTTCATGCGAAAACTTATTGCTATACTCGCAAATTTCACGCTTTAAGCTATTACTAATTGCTGTTTTTGCTCTTTTTTTTGATATTATTATATATTCCTGAAAGTAAAAAAAACTCTACGGCGAATTTAAACCTTAACCAAGACAAAGCCTTGACCACGGCGAAGCCTTGACCCTGAACACGGCAAAACTTTCAAGTTAATTACGGTGAAATCTTGGCCCTAAACATGGCAAAACCTTGTCCCTAAACATGATGAAACCTTGACTCTGAACATGGCTAAACTTTAACCTTAACCACAGTGAAATCTTGATCGGTGAAATCTTGACCT